GAACGTTAGCCTTGAACAAGCTGTGTGCGTTTTAGAAGCTCATCGATCCGAAAAACAACTAACTCTAAATGCATTAAGCGACAGTCTGTGCAAAAGCAAATAATACATTTACACAACGTGAATACATCACTTAGTATACTTCCATAGACACTGATAACTTCCTTACCGCTCTAGAAAACATATAAACGCCGTCACCAACGCTGAAGACAATTGATATGATACCACTCATCTGGTTCAGCATCAACAGGGTGTAGGACAGCTCACCAACATCTTGTTTTGACTCAGGAGGCTTTACTCGACGCCGGAAGAGCCATTGGCCGGTTCGTTATCTGCACTATCAACCACACGGACCGTATCAGGTCTGACAGAGCAATTATCGCCTTCAAATGGCTCGTCAGCATTTTCGTCCGCCTCACAAAGCTTAACCTCTCCTGAATAGCAATAAACCGCGCGCTGTCCCTTAAACAGAGCCATCACCCTATCAAGAAGGTGCGCGTCAACGTTCTTTACCGGGTGCTAAGAGTTTATACGCCTCTGCCAGAGCCAATATCCACGCCGCCGTCTCGCCGCGCGATGCTGTTGTGCGCCCCAGAACTCAAAGGCTAAATGGTGGAGTCTGAGTGGACAATAAATACCAGACTATGGAATAATAACTGCTGTTATCCGGATGTATCCACCATAGATAATTCGATTATCTGACTGGGGTGGCGTCCCTAACAAACTTCCGATAATCAGCGCTATCAGTGATATTCTCCAGATCGGTCACCATACTGGTAGACAGCTTCGCAGCATCCTTGTAATATGATAGAGCGCAAGCATGAAGAGAGGTTGCTCGCACATCGCCCACCTTGCTTCAACCAGTTTCGTTAATTCATCACTGTAGACACTCCTTCGGAACTTTTCGTGCAAGTCTCGTAGAACAATGACGACGTCTGCAAGAGTGTTTTCTTCGTTTTGCAATTTAAGCGAAGCAAAATACAGTGGACTTGTCCCTTCTTCAGCATCCTGAAGTAACGACCACAATGTTTCCGTTTCGAACACAGAACACGCCTTGGCAAACTCCTAATCACCTCGAAACGTGATTGCAAAGAGACGGAGGGCGGTTTGCACCCCGTAAAAGTGAGGCAAAA